ATCTAACGCTTCAGTGATTTCGAAGCCAATATTTCTCATCAGTTTTGACACAAGAATTCATGCCTTTTGAAAGCGAAATTTGAAAAACTGAATTGATTATATTTAACTATTGGAGGGTCTGAAGAGATTTCAGGTCTTCAGTTAAAAGTGTGCAAAACATGATAATAAGTGGAATTGAAACGGAATTCATGCTTTTTGAAAGCTAAATTTGAAAACGTGGAGCGATTTCAGGGCTTCTTCTGTTAAAAGTGAGTTAATATTAACTGAACATGATAATCTGTGCAACTACCACAAATATATTACATTAGCAATGAAACATATTGAAAGCTGGGACCAGTTTATTGATTTAGGTGTGACCTTTGACTTTTTCAAGCTGTGTGAGGTTGTAATTGCACCAGTATGTGGGTGATACTTTAAAACTAAAACAGCCTTCTATATATATGTAACGTACTTTGAGACAGTGAGGATTAAGTAGTCCCAGCAGGACTTCGTGGTATGGTCGTTACAGACACAACATGGGAGAAGCTCCTGTAATGTGAAACACCAGTGTGTGCCAGTGTGTGCCAGTGTGTGCCAGTGTGTGCTTTTAATGTGACGACTGAGGAATTGCATGCATGATGTCGGCGTGGTTGTACGGCGTGGTTGTACGAGGCGACACGTTGCTATCGTCATACATGTTCTGCATGTCAGGTGACTCATTAGGGTAGCCAAGGGAGATTGCCTGATTCATCCACAACTTCCTCTTTGGTAGAGGCAATAGGACTACCGGTACTTAATGGTTTATAATTTCCGGAATTGGAGTATTTGCTTCTGTCATTTCTGAATGTCCTATCAAATAATCAATCTGATATTGTAATTCACAAAGTAAGAAATTGAGACATGTCTTATTCACTGATCATTGCTGATGCAGAACATTCAACTATGTAGACAGGTCAGACTTTCACTGCAGCAGACATTGAACCCATGCAGACAGTGCAGACAGTGTAGTCTGTCTCACAGTCCCTGAACCACATAAATTTCCCTACTGCCTGGCCCTCTCTGGGGTGCTAAAGCCCTAAATAAAGCAAGTCTAGATTTCCTCAGGTTCTGAATCTCTGGTCTCCCTTTTCAATATAAATTGGCTTGTTTGTTACTATCAAAATTATATATATTCAGAGACTAAGCCTTAGTCTAACTTTCACTGCTGTAGAACATTAAACCATGTATACATTACAGTGACTAAATTCACCTCTGCAGAACAAAGAATTTATGTACAGAGTCCCGACTTTCACTGCTGTAGAACATAAAATTGATATAAACAGTTCAGACTTTCGCTGCTGCAGAATGTAAAAATGATGTAGACAGTTCAAACTTTCTCTGCTAACAAATGTAGAGTTCATGTAGACAGTTCAGACTTTCACTGCTGACAAGTGTAGAATCCATGTAAACAGCACAGACTTTCACTGCTGCGGAACACAGAATCCATTTAGAGAGTTTAGACTTTCACTGCTGTAGAACATTTAACCATTAATACAGTTCAGACTTTCACTGCTGTAGAACATATAATCCATTTAGAGAGTTCACACTTTCACTGCTGTAGAAAATGTAGCCTCTGCGACAGTTGAGACTTTCACTGCTGTAGAACATGAGAGGGATGTAGACAGTGCAAACTGTCACTGCTAACAAATGTAGAACCCATGTAAAGAGCGCGCAGACATTTAACAAATATCTCATAAAGCATATTGGCTTCGTGAATGTCTCTGAAATTGCCAGATTAAGGAAATTAAGATTAAGGATCATGTTTCTCCAGATGAAATCATCATTTATTTAATTTGTTCTATTTTAATGTTTGGTAGTGGTAAATTATGCAGAAACTATTAGAACACATTTCGCTATCCATGTTTTCTCAGCTGTAGACATTTTGAACTGTTGACTGTGTATCTTGGTGAGCTACAGTGCTGGAGAGTAATTTCTTTGACATTTCATTTGTAAGTGCACGCAGTATTGTCTGTATAAAGATGACACAATTAAAGGGAAAGCTCGGTGTATTTCAAGGCGCCAAAAAATCAATAGGCACCATAGTAATTGATGAAGTAGCATTGCCCCTGCCATGCATGCAGGTTGAATTCAATACAGAACAACACTAGCATGAGTGGCACATATTGACCAGACATTGTAGATTTGTATGGATTTCTGGAGGCAAGTTGTGTGTGGAATGTGGTAGCTTGTATGTCACAGTAAATGGTTAAAGCTGCCCGAAACAGTAACTTTGAATTGTACATGACAAGTGTATCAGTTTTTAGAGTGACATGACAGTGTTAGTCCAATAGCTCTGTAAGAGTCTAGATGGACAAGTATACTTTAGTGAGCATTCTCTTATTTTATCTTGACCATATAGTGTTATAATGAGGAGTAGGCAAGTAGTGTTGTCATGTTGATAGTGCCATAGGCAACTTGATCTGTAGTGGCGTTGTTGCCTCAAGATCCTACAGGTTAATGGAGTTCTCTGACCCTGCTTGATTCCCATATTCCAGACTACATTAGACTGATGCTTAGCTAGAATATTCTGCTGATTCCTCATGTCACTTACGACCCGTGAAGATCCGGGGTAGAATAGGTCTTCAGCAACCCATGTGCTTGCCATAAAAAGGCGACTATCTTGTCGTAAGAGGCGACTAACGGGATTGGGTGGTCAGTTTCGCTGACTTGGTTGACACATGTCATCGGTTCCCAATTACGCAGATCGATGCTCATGCTGTTGATCACTGGATTGTCTGGTCCAGACTCGATTATTTACAGACCGCCGCCATATAGCTGGAATATTGCTGAGTGCGGCGTAAAACTAAACTCACTCACTCACTCATGTCACTTACATTACTGCGGGCTGACATACAAGTTTTCCTCGCTTCTTCACCATTATCAGAGTTGTGCTTCCTCCAGTCAATGTAATCTCAGATCAACTAAAGCATCCGATACCTCTTCTGTACAGTATGAACTCATATCAACTGCAGTACAGCTGTATACCGCCTCTGTACAGTATAACCTCATATCCACTACAGTACAGCTGTATACCGCCTCTGTACAATATGACCTCATACCAACTACAGTATAACTGTATACCTGTACATTATGAACTCGTATCCACTACAGCACATCCATGTACCTCCTCTGTACAATATGACCTCATACCAACTACAGTACAGCTGTTTACCTCCTCTGTACAGTATGACCTCATACCAACTACAGTATAGCTGTATACCTGTACATTATGAACTCGTATCCACTACAGCACATCCATGTACCTCCTCTGTACAATATGACCTCATACCAACTACAGTACAGCTGTTTACCTCCTCTGTACAATATGACTCATACCAACTACAATTATAGCTACCTCTGTACAATATGACCTCATACCAACTACAGTATAGCTGTATACTTGTACATTATGAACTCGTATCCACTACAGCACATCCATGTACCTCCTCTGTACAATATGACCTCATACCAACTACAGTATAGCTGTTTACCTCCTCTGTACAATATGACCTCATACCAACTACAGTATAGCTGTATACCTGTACATTATGAACTCATACCCACTACAGCACATCCATGTACCTCCTCTGTACAATATGACCTCATACCAACTACAGTACAGCTGTTTACGTCCTCTGTACAATATGACCTCATACCAACTACAGTATAGCTGTATACCTGTACATTATGAACTCGTATCCACTACAGCACATCCATGTACCTCCTCTATACAATATGACCTCATACCCACTACAGTACAGCTGTATACCGCCTCTGTACAATATGACCTTATACCCACTACAGTATAGCTGTTTACCGCCTCTGTACAATATGACCTCATACCCACTACAGTACAGCTGTATACCGCCTCTGTACAATATGACCTTATACCCACTACAGTATAGCTGTTTACCGCCTCTGTACAATATGACCTCATACCCACTACAGTACAGCTGTATACCGCCTCTGTACAATATGACCTCATACCAACTTCAGTGTAGCTGTTTACCGCCTCTGTACAATATGACCTCATACCAACTTCAGCACAGCTGTTTACCTCCTCTGTACAATATGACCTCATACCAACTTCAGTATAGCTGTTTACCTCCTCTGTACAATATGACCTCATACCAACTACAGTACAGCTGTTTACCTCCTCTGTACAGTATGACCTCATACCAAATACAGTATACCAGTATAGCTGTGTACCTCCTCTGTACAATATGACCTCATACCAACTACAGTACAGCTGTTTACCTCCTCTGTACAATATGACCTCATACCAACTACAGTATAGCTGTTTACCTCCTCTGTACAATATGACCTCATATCCACTACAGCACAGCTGTTTACCTCCTCTGTACAATATGACCTCATACCAACTACAGTACAGCTGTTTACCTCCTCTGTACAGTATGACCTCATGTACAAATGAACTCAGTACAGCACATCCATGTACCTCCTCTGTACAATATGACCTCATACCAAATACAGTACAGCTGTTTACCTCCTCTGTACAGTATGACCTCATACCAAATACAGTATAGCTGTATACTTGTACATTATGAACTCGTATCCACTACAGCACATCCATGTACCTCCTCTGTACAATATGACCGCATATCCACTACAGTACAGCTGTTTACCTCCTCTGTACAATATGACCTCATATCCACTACAGTACAGCTGTTTACCTCCTCTATACAGTATGACCTCATATCCACTACAGTACAGCTGTTTACCTCCTCTATACAATATGACCTCATATCCACTACAGTACAGCTGTTTACCTCCTCTGTACAGTATGACCTCATCATCACTACAATAATGATAAAAGTACTGAAAATTGATATAGGGCTAAATCCACCCACTAAGTGGGTGCTCAAAGTGTTGCAGTACATCTGTCAACCTCCTCTGTATATAACCCTATATCCACTACAGTACAGTACCGGTATATGACCTCATACTCCTGAATGTTACAGCCTGGACCTCCACCAGCAGATAGAGGAGCTGCAGTGTCAGCTGATCAGGAGCAACTCACACATCTCTCTCATAGAGCATGAGCTGATTGATAGTAAGCAGCTCGCGGAATATGAAGTGCTGAAACTGCGGGAGGAGTTTGCTCGACTCAGGGACAGATATGACAGGTAAATGACTTCATATTAGAAAATGACAGTTCTTATGAACACGGCATATATGATAAAGCTGTGGGAAATAACCAAGCATTTTACAATTTTTACAAATGTTATAACAGATTTTTTAGCTAGAATTTGTTAAAGAGTGGGATTACTATTGTATATTGGCAAATTGTTGCTGCATGGACCTTCATCAGTTTAGATTAATAAACAAACTACCTTTGTTTTTCATTGTTGAAGATATATCTTCAGTAAGCAGAGTTTCTAAAGTTGTACACCAAAAAATATTATTCCAATACTGATGCCTTTTGGCTAGGAATATTACAACGTTTTGAAATTACATGTAAATCATAAGATGTAAATCAGGGCAGAGTGGTGTGTGTTTGATGCTCAGATAGTCATTCTCATCAGTTGTGTGGTCTAATGGTACCAAAGTGGCTGCTAATGGTGGCCATTCTCAAAACTGAAATGTCATTTCCTATCTAATTACATCTTGTTGACATTATCCCAAACATGTCGGTTATGAATTTAGATAATTTATGTGTTTACTTTGAGGATTGATATTGTTTTCTTTGCATGTTTTCATTAGCAAGCATCAATCTCTTTGTTCACCGCTGTGTCACAGTTATACATGATTTGCATTACTTTTGGAACTGAATATATTAAGATAATGATTCAGAGAATTACAGATTATCTGTAAAAATACGAATTATTCAGATGCCTAGTGATACCTTGTATTGTCCTGGTGTCAAGTACATTATGTTAACACCCTGTAACAGGGGTGGAAATAACCCATTGCCCGATGCCTGAGTCCAGTGTTTTTTTCTGTCGGGCAAGCAAATTTGTATATCACACTGTACCGGTGTCCAGTTGATATTCCAATGTTAATTATGTTGTTTAATTAAAAAATCAACAAGAAAACAGCCGGTATAGTGGAAAAATTATCAGGGCAAGTGATTTTACATGTGCCACTGTACTGGAGTACACTACCAATTTTAAAGTTATTTCCATGCCCTGTGTAATTACAAGTCGTGCACATCTGGATCGTGATGAGTAGATCCTTGTGTGATGCCTTGATAAGTGGCAGGTTTTCAAGTACCATGTGTTGTTTACAGGCTGCTGGAGAGTCACAAGAGGATGCAGAAGGTCAACCACGACCTGGAGGACAAGTTACTTAAAGTGGTCAGTATAGGCAGCCTTCATTATTCAGCTTGTAGTTCGTCTCACTAGGCCCCACATGGGTGCAATGTGCGAAGTCCATTTTTGGTGTCCTCTTTCGTGATATTGCTGGAATATTGCTAAAAGTGACATAAAACCATACTCACTCACTCACTTGTCTCACTTGGATTACCAACGTTGTAGAAAAGTTCAAGCTTCAGTGTCATGTAGTTCATTAATATGGCAAAAGAATTGGCAAACTTGGTTTTACTTCAGTGGAATTGTCTCATTCAGAATGTCCATTAGACAAAAATATGTTTCCTGTTGCACTAGAACTAGTGTCTGAAATGTTTTAAATAATGTTTTATGTTTTGTTCAAGGTTAACAAATTTGAGGGAGAGAAGGTGTCCCTGCAGCGGGAGGTCGCAGCCTTGACCTCTAAACTTGTTGATGGCAAGGTCACTATATGTGAATTAGAGGAGGAAAATGTAAGCATTGAATTACAAAGAAAGCTTCATTCACTTCTTGTTCCAACAATGTCAGTGCTTATGGACTTCAAGACAATTAGTGTGAAGCCCATTTCTGGTGTCCCCGGCTGTGATGTTGCTGGAATATTGCTAAAAGCGGCGTAAAACCAAACTCAGTCAGTCAGTCAAGACAATTACTTATTCAGTGGAAGCCTCACAGCCAGAACAATCAGCTGTCAGGGTTGTGTTTTTGAGACATGCATTTCATTTTTATTCTTAAAGCCTTTTACATGAAGAAAATGGAAAATCTTGAATAGTTTGCATGATAATGAACTTTTACTGTTACGTTCTGCAGTTGATTACGAAGTGGACCCGTGAAGATCCAGGATAGGATTGATCTTCAGTAACCCATGCTTGTTGTAAAAGATGACTAATAGGGTCAGGTGGTCAGACTCGCTGACTTGGGTGACACATGTCATAGTATCACAACTGTGTAGATCGATGCTCATGCTGTTGATCACTGGATTGTCTAGTCCAGGCTCGATTATTTACAGACTGCTGCTATATAGCTGGAATATTGCTGAGTGCGTCGTAAAACTAAACTCACTCACTCATGATTATGAAGTGGATTTCCTAGGCATATTAGTGAAGGCAGTATTAGTCTTGTTCTATTGTAACAATATTTCTGAAGGTTGTTCATGTTTGATTGCCTCCCAGGAACGGTACCGCAATGACTGTAATCTGGCAGTGCAGCTGCTTCACTGTAGACCTTCCAACTTTGTCGCACATAAACTTAATTCGGTAAGTTTGAGCCAGTTCTTTGATTATTGTTGTATCTCTATAGAATTGGTCTTCAGCAACCGAACTGCTGACTTGGTTGACGCATGTCATCCCAATTGCGTAGATTGATGCTTATGATGTTAATCACTAGCTTGTCTGGTCCAGACTTGATTGTTTACAGACTGCCACCATATATCTGGAATATTGCTGAGTGTTGTGTTTAACAGCGAACAAACATATTTAGCTCTATATCAAAGTGCCCTTTACAATGATGCCATTGTGTTTGTTTCTCAGCGAACAAACATATTTAGCTCTATATCAAAGTGCCCTTTACAATGATGCCATTGTGTTTGTTTCACAGCGAACAAACATATTTAGCTCTATATCAAAGTGCCCTTTACAATGATGCCATTGTGTTTGTTTCACAGCGAACAAACATATTTAGCTCTCTATATCAAAGTGCCCTTTATCAATGATTACAATGATGTTGTTTGTTTCATGCAGAACAAACATATTTAGCTCTATATCAAAGTGCCCTTTACAATGATGCCATTGTGTTGGTTTCACAGCGAACAAACATATTTAGCTCTATATCAAAGTGCCCAAAGTGCCCTTTAATGATGCCATTGTGTTTGTTTCACAACACAAACATATTTAGCTCTATATCAAAGTGCCCTTTACAATATCAAAGTGCCCTTTACATGCCATTGTGTATTTAGCTCTATATCAAAGTGCCCTTTACAATGATGCCATTGTGTTTGTTTCACAGCGAACAAACATATTTAGCTCTATATCAAAGTGCCCTTTACAATGATGCCATTGTGTTTGTTTTACAAGCCCTTTACATGATGCCATTGTGTTTGTTTCACAGCGAACAAACATATTTAGCTCTATATAAAAGTGCCCTTTACAATGATGCCATTGTGTTACAAGCCCATGTGATTTAGACCACATCCACTTCAATATTTTTATTGCCACTATCTGCTGCAGCTTCCAATGGACTTACAAGACCGGGTGAAGAAACACATGACCCGAGAACAGATTCTGAACATGGAGAACAGCGTGAAGGAGTCCAAGTTGATCCGAGTGCCGATGCAGACATTCCCCCCATGTGCCATGGTCTACTCCGTCAACAACACCGACGCTGAAACCAACATGGGGAACGTGTCCCCCACAGAAACAGTGCCAATGTCCCTCATAGCCAAAGTGCTAACCCAGCCCGAGCCCAGGCGGAAGCCTCAGAGAACTTACATCTGTCTGAAGTGCAAGCGAGACGTTGTGTTGATAGACAAACAGGTCCAGGCCACGGGCCTGCGTGACCTTGAACGGAACAGTTTGCCGATGAGGGTGCATCGGACAGGAAGTACAAGTAGCAATGGTAGTGGCAGACCCAGACACAATTCTACGGAGACAGAGATCTGATACGAACTGTTCTGTCACTATGTGATATGCCTTCATGATGAAGTCACCTGTAGTCTGACTTCATGTGTGGTTGAGTGTTTTATACTAAGCATAATTGCAGTGCTATTCAAGCTGTTCTTAATGATGCTGAAGGATATTTAGAATCCACAAGGATTCTGACTAGAATAGGTTCAGGTTTGCACATCATTGAAAATGGTTTTGCCATCTAAATCTTCACAATTTATGCCTTGTTTATGAGAGTAAGGCGACTTCATATGCAGCATTTTGTGAGATCTTAATGATCAAAGGGCAGGCACAACTGCAACATGTACATCTGTACAAATATATTTATTAACAAATGTAAATATTTTCTACCACATTTTTTCTCTAACATGGTTAGTAACTATTTATAAGTTGGTGCAGCAGAGTGTCTTGTTTCTCATAAAGTTTATTGTTGTCATAAACTGAGTTTAGGATTTGCACATATTGATCATGAACATTTTCATATCTGAAAGTTTTAATTTAATGGAATGTAATTGGCACCATATTACCAAATTGTCATGGTTTTTTTTCCAGTGTCATGTTTGTTTCCAGTTGACTTACCTTCTTAACTGAAATTCTAAAAAAAAAAATAATGATTTTGTATTTAGATTTATTTTTCAGAAAAACAGCTAGAAATTTAAGAGGTTTTCATATATGACAAGACTTTCATTATGTGCATACTACTGTATATGACCGTAGATAAGCTAATCCTAACTTGACCCTTAAAATCAGTATCAAATGGTATATCACGCACATAAGCTGAACCACCAACTTTCGTTCAATGAGACAGCAAATTTAATGCCTGGATATTTAAGACAGTCTTTTTCCAATATAATGATTCATAATCTAGTTACTGTGATAGTATAGGAAACATGATTGTGTTATTTATTGCAGTGTTGTATATAATCTAACCAATCACGGGTGATGCCTTTGATTGGCAGCATTTGTGACCCCAGTTTGCTCATATTTGCTACCTCCAAACAACAGCCTTGGAGAGACATGGGAATAGTTCCATGAATATGTGTATATTGGTAACCCAGTCATCCTCGATAATCTCCAGGGTATACGTTACGATCACTCTCCACTCACTATACCCTTGATGCATCCACGGCTTGGCCCGATAATTATATTACCTCCCTTTGCTGGCTCTGCATTCTCACAGTAGCCAATCAGCTAAGCCGCTGTTACATCCGAGCTTGCCAGTGTCAACAAAGATAGCGGTTGCAGTCGCGAAGGTTTGTTCACAGCTCCTCTCAAATTTTTGGGGAAATCATACAGACAAATTGACAGATCTGAAACTTTAAGAAAATCTGTGAAAGAACTCCTTCTACCTCTTCCAGAGCACCTCTGCATCAGTTATGTTGCCAAGTTTAACGATTAGATAATTTAAGAACCCAAAGTGAGTTGTGATTGGTTCGCTCAACTTCCCAGCGTAGACATCTGATTGGATAAAAAGTCAGCAAAGGGAGGTAATGTAATTATGATTTCCCCCCAAAATTGAGTGGCGCTGCGAACAAACTTTCGCGACTCCGACCGCTATCTTTGTTGACACTGGCAAGCTCGGATGTAACGGCGGCTTAGCTGATTGGCTACAGTGAGAATGCAGAGCCAGCAAAGGGAGGTAATATAATTATCGGGCCAAGCCGTGGATGCATCCAGGGTGGAGAGTGATCGTAACGTATACCCTGGAGATTATCAAGGATGTAACCAAGTAGTCATTATAATAAACCCATCTATCTCCATGTTCCTTGAGGATGCTTTTAAGGTTGCTAGGCTACAGCCAATGGCAGGTCTTGTAAAATTGATCAAGGTCATTAACAACCACTTTTTCAGGTAGCAAAATATGCATTATGATGGAAACCACACGTAAAATCTCAAGTCATCACTGGTAGCTGAAGTTTATGATGTGTGATTCTGAGTGCTGGAGTTCATCCTTAATCAAATTACACACTTGAAACTTATAGATCTAGACCGAAGACTAGAAATAGACACTAGACTGTGGAACATATTCCCCTTCATATCCCAGGGATTCAGATTATAGTTTAAGCATTGAGTATCTACTCCAACTTAACAGTCACATTGGGTATTATCTGTTTGTTTACTTTGAGCATTAAATATATTTTTACTCTTTTGGGTCATCTCTGTTGCATAATTTTACACCAATGAGTACATGTTTTTGCACATTATTCTGCTACAAATTCTCTGTCTGATGATTTCTAATTTGTATCTGTTTGTGTAGTAATTATGTAAATCGTCTTAACTATGAGCTAGACGTAGCTGCTTTCTTGTGCGACATTATCTGCAGTTGAGTTCAAGTGCGTGTCCTGGTTGACTTTGGCCAGTAAGGCCAGACCAATTTTATTTCTTGTTTTAAGGATTTCTGTCCTCAAAATACCTAAAGGCAGGAGGGAAAAAATTAAATAATAAAAATCACCAGTCAAAGTAATATTCCTTTTAAATACTAAAAGTGTTTTACTTTTGGCAATTTATGAAGTGTATATGGGACAAAAACAATCTAAATGCATTTTCTTGCACATTTACATTTTTGGCCAATAAAAATATTAAAATTTTATTTTTTGAGCAGGGAAAATTAATTTTAATTTTTTTCTAATTCTTGAAAAAATATCACCAGGGGATCCGTAAAACAAGAAATAGAATTGATCTGGCCTAAGTAAAGATTTGTGAAGAAGTACAGGTGAAGGATGATTGGGGAACTAAACAGAGTGTTGTGATGCTATTGGGTTGTTGAAGTTTTCAAGCAATTGAATGACTTATTTTGCATATACATGTCTTACCTGGAGCTCTGAATCCTAAACAGAGTGTTGTGATGCTATTGGTTTTTTCAAAAGTTTTCAAGCAATCAAAAGACTAATTTTGCATATTTTTTTAGGCAAATACACATCTTACCTAGAGCTCGTGAGACATTTGACACAAGCACACTGATGTTGATAAGATAAGGACAACATTTATGGATGAACAACTTCTTTATTCAGGTGATGCTTTGTTTGGATATAGATTCTTGTATCTTTGTCAAGCATCTGTATCGAAACATTGCATCACCTGAATAAAGAAGTTGTTCTTCCATGAAGGTGTCTGGTGTCCCATTCTATGATGTTACTGGAATATTGCTAAAAGCGGCATAAAACTAAACCCACTCACTCAAAGTCATTTTGTCACTTTAATTGACAGCTTGATGAAGAATTTCCATTTTAGGAAAGGCTGCTTCATGCTAGTGGAAAGAGTGAAATTGAAGTGAAAATATATGTATGTATGATGAAACATTTAAGACTAAGCCTCGCTTTCACTTGATGTCACAAATGTCACAGTAATTGAGCAGTGTTAGGAAACAGTAACACAAATGTAACGCTCTTTCAGAAACTTATAGCACAGGACAGCTGAAACTTAGGTTTTCCATACAGTGAAAGTTCCATCAGTATGTCTGATGTATTCCAAATTGTTACAAACTGGAGACCTCCCAAAACAGACTCCAGGCCAGTGGGTAGACCTATAGACACAGTGATTCCATTACCCTCTATTACAGTCTTGAAATATGTTTGTCACATACAGAACATGTGTGAATGCTGTATCTGGTATAATTGTTTGCTTTTGTTGTTAGTGTTGTCAAGATGGTGTAAAAGATTATGTTCTGGATGTATTATTTGTGTGGTCAACTATTTTCACAAACGTTTAGATAAGCTGCTGTTAAATGAAAAAAGAAATCAGGTTTTCTATACTCTTTTTAGGCCAGATCAATTTTATTTCTTGCTCTACGGTTTTGTCAGAAAACCTAAAGGCAGGAGGAAAAAAAAATAAATATGATCATCAGTCAAAGTAATATTCCTGCGAAATATTAAAAGTATTTTACTTTTGGCAATTTATGAAGTGTATGTGGGGCAAAAAACAATGAAAAAAATAATTTTCTTTTAAGTTTACATTTTTGGCCAATAAGAACATAAAGATTTTATTTTTTGAGTGGGGAAAATTAAGTTTTATGTTTTTTCTTATTCTTGAAAAAATATGCCTGGCGGATCCGTAAAACAAGAAATAAAATTGGGCTGGCCTTATGGTATTTCATAGTATACAAACATTTCATGATGATTTTATGAGTGCTTGTGTCAGTGTCACTGTGTTCTTGTCCTGAAACCAGCTTCAGTCTTCCAGACTTGCAGTTGCCTCCATAACGATGGTAACAACATTTAAGTATTTGTTTTATCAGCTGATATTTGTCTGGTATTTTCGTTTGTTTGTGGTATGATTATATTAACTGAATGCTCTACTCACAGACTCAATGGTAACAGCTACCTCTGCTTCTGTTATAAGTAAGATGGTACTCAGTGTGGAGAACATTGACAATTATTTTTGAAGATGTTTTGGGTGTGTTTATATGTTGTGGGTTTGGGAGTTTGGAATAACCCATATTTGTATATTATGAATTTGACAGATATGAAAATGGTATGTGTACGTACAACTGCCCCTGTGACTGAATGGTACCAATATATTGCAGCAATAGGTTTAGCATTGTACTTAAGTGTTGGTTAATATGTGAAGGACTTTAGAACTGTAATGTGCATGGTAGAAAATGTGTGTGGTAATCATGCGAAGTCAACTGAATGAATGTTTAACTGTTTTCTTGTTCATTACCATTCCAGCTGTTTTTTGGCGGTGGGGTAGCCTAGTGGTTAAAGCGTTGGCTCGACACGCTGAAGACCCGGGTCGATTCCCCACATGGGTACATTGTATGAAGCCCATTTCTGGTGTCCCCCACCGTGATATTGCCGGAATATTGCTAATTGCGGCGTAAAACCAAAATTCAGTCAGTCCAGCTGTTTTGAATCTAGGCTGATAAGAAGTTTATTCCCATGAGATTAAGATGTAATTGTGAAATGGAAATCATGGTTATGTCCCTTAACTATGACAGGATCTGCTGTTCATTGGAATCTCCCAATTGCATCTTTGATCACTGGATCCTGACATTCCGAAGGGATGTAACTCTACATACCGGTAGTTAATTGCTTAGACCAATATCACCTAGAATGGCTCAGACCAATATCACCTAGTCATGAGGTATTTTTGAAACAAAAAGATAATTTGCAATAGTGTTCAAAACGGTTTCTGTTTAGTGTTTGTCGTGAAAGAGATTGGTTACCATTTCAACTGATTGAGTATCATTTATCATCTAAAGAAATCAATTCATAAGTCAATCAGAAGCATTTCATTTCATCCTTGCTGTGTTCTGTTCACACTGCCTTATCTTAAGCCATTATAAGTAAAACCACCTGGTCATCGCAAATTTAATTGGCATGTCTTCATACTGTTTGGAGTGGATGATGTCAATATGTGTGCTACATCTAATGTCATCTAGCTATAGCTTCCAATAACTTGTAGTGCAAGCCTCACGATATGCATGCTGTAGGTCATTGAATTGTTATGTATGTTTATGAATGACTCAGGTCTTTCTTTCACACTTTATTTACCTGGCTGTAACAATGATCTGTATAAAATTTAACAGTGCGGCTACAGGGAATTACACTGTTATGATTTTGCTTCCAGGTGAACTGCAGGGCCTTGTTTATACTGGATGGATTTTTGTTGTACAAGGCAAGTAGTTTATGTGTATACCTCAGGGAACTTTCGAAAACGGTGTACAACTGGATATGTACATTCAATTATGATGAAGGTTCACAAAGGAATCAATTCTACTTCCAGTTCCATATGCTACCAAACTAGGGTACATTTATTTTTGTTTGTTGATTAACGCCGCACACAGCAATATTCCAGCTATATGGCGGTGGTCTGTATATCATCAAGTCTGGACCAGACAATCCAGTGATCAACATCATGCATATCAATCTCCGCAACTGTGATATGATGACATGTGTCAACCAAGTCAGCAAGTCTGAGCAACCGATCATAAGTGGCTTCTTTCGACAAGCATGGGTTGCTGAAGACCAATTCTAACCTAGACCTTCACAGGTCTCACCTATGTATTCCAGTTCTGGTTAGAGTTCTTATCGAAACACAGAAAGATGCCTGGGGTATATGTATGTGACAACAAGCCTTATCCAGTGAAACAGGATGAAGCAGAGCTGTCTAAGCAGGACATACAAGAATCCTAGTCTTAACACCTAGCTACAGTATTTC